TAACTGTCTGTTTATGGGTTTTGCATCTAGTGCCAATTTTATGGAATCATCTTTTTTTACTGTTTTTACAATAGGCGCTATAAAACAATCACTAGTACATTTGTCCAGACCTTTTATATGCCCTTCTTTTAACAGTTTTTTCATTTCCTCATACACTTTCTCCTGTATGTGTATTGGAATTCGCCTCCCTTTTTTCTTGTAAGGGACAAAGTGGATACTTGAACTTTGTACTGACAACATGATTCTTCGAACACCCCTGACGATCAAAAAGGTCTTTAAATTTATTATAAAATTTATTTTTCCAACCTTCTGACTGTTCGCACAGCAATACATCAAACCTCGTCTTTTCTTTGGGTGCCAACTTCTGTGTTTTGTGAATCCCCACTTTGCTCTGTAAATCCAGCCCCAATATACATCTCGTGCGTCTTTCTGTGATCAACAGCGATGCTCTCACTACTTCCCACCCTGCCGAACGGATGGTTGTAGTGATTGCGCCCAGTATATTAATTGGCTGTTTATTGTAGTCCACAAATTGAGCAGTCAAATTTAGATTTTCCCGTGGAGTGAACTTCGTATTTTTCAGATTATGTTTATCTTTTCATATCTCTCTTTAGAGATTATGTTTATCTTTTCATATCTCTCTTCAGATTGCAAAAGTCCAAATGACTGTTGCGTTCGGCCAGCATGAATGGCCTTGAATAATACTAACAATACATAACAGAATATCAATACCACTTATTCTCCAAGGTTATTGTGGCAACAGTACTACACCGTACCACATGTTAAAGAAATTGATTTGTTGAAACTTTTCGAAATGGCATATTTATATATATACGTATATTTTTGTGCCCAATTTGCTACCATTTTTATCAATCATATTAGGTTGTGTCGAATTACACTGAAAAAATTTTTGAGCGGTAATGAATCGCTGCGTACACTGCGCATTTATGTCCTTTTGGGTAATACGTGCAAAATATTTACATCAAAAGATTGCAGTTGAATACTTTTTGTAATTCCGAACATTGCTTATCACATATTGATCCGAATTTTGTAACAAAATTTGCGGAATATTTGTGCTCGGGCGGGTTTTTTTTTCATCAGCCAAATTTCGACTTTTTAACCAGCCATTTTTGACGGAATTTTTTTATATCATTCAAAAGGTATTTTTGTCTTGAGCTTAAATTTGAAAAGATATTTCACCTATGATCATTTTTCGTAAAGTTATGGAGTTTAAATACTGCCATTTTGGCCAATTTGGGACAATTAACGCGCGATATATTTTGCACGATTAACGCGTAAGCGGAGATTTAGCAACCGTTCCAAATTGGTTGAAAGAAAGCTTGTTTGCCATAATTGATTTGTTACAACGAGCGAAATCTATTCTTTTCTACTTTATATGGCGTTTTTTTACATCATTCGAAAGCTATTGTTACCCTGAGCTTAAATATGAAAAGATATTTCAAGTTTGGTCATTTTTTGTAGAGTTATGGGGGTTTAAAAATTGCCATTTTGGCTAATTTGGGACGATTAACGCGCGATATATTTCGCTTATTAACGCGTAAGAGGAGATTTAATCCGTCTTAGAAAACGTTTAAATTGGTTCAAGGAAAATTATATGCCATAATTGAATTGTAAATAGGAGCAAAATTCATCACTTTGTTCTTAATATGGCGTGTGTGGGGATGTTTTCACAAAAAATCTCAAACTTTTTTTAAAAAAGTTTAATTTCAATTTATTACTTTTAAATTTTCCATGCTATTACTGCTCCATAGACCTGAAAAGGCAGTCGGAACATTCAAAGCTTCGCCCTGATACGAGCAGCCTTGTTACTAATCTGTATCTAAAATTTTGTCAAAAACTCACCAGAATAAAGAAAGTAAAATTTAGTTTAATTATTTGTAGTACATCTAAAAAACAAAGTCAATTTTAAATGTTTTGAATCCAGTAATTCATAGTGTTTTTTTCAGGAAAAATTTTATTTAGAAAAAGTCAATCAACTTCAAATTGTGCATTTTTTCATAAATATTTAATCTCAATGTCCAATATTACAATTTTTTTTAGTTTAAGATTGATCAGTCCAAAACTTGGCAAAATTGAGGAAACTGTTTAAATAATCCGTTACATGAATTTTTTCTGAAAAAACATTCAATCATAACAAGTTTTTGCAAAATTACCTCGTTCTTTCGTTTTGACGAAAAAAATTGACAAAAATTATATCGAAAAAAAACTTGATAATTTGATTTTTTTGAATAGGATTCTTTTCTGATTTGAATTTTTGTAAAACATTTGAGACATCGTGATTTTTCAAAAGAAAATCAAATAATTGTCCTAAGATATCTTTAGTTTTGGAACATGATGTTTCATCAGATTTTGGAAACGTTTTTCATTCTTGAGGTAATTTTTGACATTGGCTGGACTTTAAATTTACTGGTTTGGCCAAAGATCACAATGACCATTAGTCGGATAAATGAACCAAGCAAGTCCGCCTAAAAAAATCTAAGAATTCTGACTTTTTTATGATTTCAATTATGATTTCATACGACGGCACGCAGCTTGAGTTTTTTTTTTATTTCTATTACGATGTTAATTATTTTTTTGTTCTTTTCTCAGCTAGGAAAAATAACAAACCAAACAAAAACACAAAAAATACCAATGCTTGATTTTTTTCAACAACGCGTAAAATGTTTTTTTTTTATAGGATAACCTACACTTAGAAAATTCATGACAGAATTTCATTTTACTATTCATTATTTTCAAACATAGTGTAGTGCCCTTCAGGTTTTTGTTATGTGCATTGACGCAAAAATTGTTAAAGAAAATTTAAGAAGGCTAAACAGCCTTAAAGTTCTTGTTAAATTTTTAAAAAAATTTTTTGAATAATTCAATTTTTTTTAAGATTCTTTGATATTTATACTCTAGTTTTAACCTGATAGAAAAACTGCAAAATAGTTTTATTTTTTAAATTTAATTATGTTAATTTTAATTACAAGAAATAACAATAAAGCCAAAAAAATTGAGTTAGCTTTAAAACATTTTGCAGCCGTAATTTTTGTTGAATTTATATTCAGCATAAATGAAACCAGTTTCTGTCTTCACCTTGTAAGGGGTTATTAAAAAATTGGCGAGTGCTGTCAACTGTTTATGAGGTTTAAAGATTAGCTCCACCAAAAAAATTGATATGTAAAAGGAACAACGCCCGAGTCGAGGTTGTGTGTTTATGCGCAACCGAACTCGAGTATTTTCAGACAGCAGAGCTAAATTTTGCTGCTTTCAGATTTTGCAGACCGAGTCAATGTGTCCGAGATCGGCGCGTTCTACGGAACGTCCCATTTTTACACAATTGGGGTTTTTACCACTGATTATGATCTGTTTTTTCTTCAATAATATTTATTTGAACTAGGTTTTTGCATCTATGTTGCTTATAATTTTTGCGCTTCATAAATGTTGAGTAGTTTAATTTTTTGAAAAACTCGAATAGCGTTTTCAAATCATCTTAAAAATATTAAATGAAATTTCTTCGTTATATTAAATATTAAAAATAATAATTGAAATTTCTTCGTGATGCACATGTTTATATTCATATTCTTCGTAATATGAATTATTAAAAATATTAATTGAAATTTCTTCATGATGCACATGTTTATAGCCACCAAATTGATTTGGTGTGATGATGAGTAGGGCTGAGTAGTTTTCACCTACCGCGTGAATTTTTCAGGTAATATTAAAAAATCTCTATGAAGTTTTTGTTTCGTGTAAAAGTTTTGTATTCAGATGTACTGAAATGCATTAAGACATATCAAGTTAAAATATTTCCTCATTGACAGCATAATTATAATCAATTAAAAGATATTTTGTCAAAAATTTATCAAAATACAATTATATCTCTTAATTGATTATAATTATGCTTTTATTTTTATCAATTTAATATTTAGTTTAAAATTATTATATAAAATTCATATTTATTTCAATATAAATTATTATCTATAATTAAGATATTGTAGTCTATTTTAATCAATTTTATAAGATTTTTTAGAAAAAATTCAACCGATATTATTTGATTTTAATCTATTTTAGTTTTTTGAAGAATGGTGTTATTATTTGTTTGAAATTCTACGTTTGGCTCTTTTAAATAAATAAATATTTATTCGAAAACAATTATAATTGTAATTTGACCAAAAACAATTTTTTTTATTGAGTGCGGGTGGTTTTGCTTTAGGTTAAACTCACAGCATATTTAAAGTTCCTAGAAGGCCCACTTCACTCCACAATTGGGCACACCCACCCGTCATCCATCCTTAAAATATCGCTTTTGGTTATTTTTGACGATATCAATTTTTGTCCAACCATTACAACATTGTTTGCATTTTTGTTTCAAAAAGTAATCATCTAATAAATGACAAATTAACTTGTACAATTTATTGCCAAAACAGGTTCTACTGGAATTTTAGGTGAGTTTGGAAAATCTTTTAGTTCGACCAAAAAATCATCAACAAGTTTTTGATGGTTCTTTCAATTTTCTACCCTCTTTGCCTCACCCCCTCGAGAAAATTTACACCTGTTTCTCGTCAAAAATATAATAAAGTCGATAATTGTCAAGTAACGTCGAAAATTAATTTATTGGCTCAGAATGCTCAGTAACAAAGTTGCCGTTTAGTTAGCCTAAAATTACCATCGTAAAATGATGGAAGTTTTGAATACGTAATGACTCAATGCAATATCATTTTTTGGGCATGAATTTGTTGCTCGATTTAAAAAGTATTTAAAGTTTGCAAAAACTTGTAAGCAAAAATGCGTTTCTCTATCATTATTTTTTTATTTTAATTGGGCACGTATGTCATCGCTCGATTTGGGTTCCGACTGTGCTCGACCTTTGTTTCGATTTTGATACCAAAATCGGGACTGACTCAGTTCAACATGAAGTCTTTTCTCGACTTCGATAGTCAATCATAAAACAGTCTTTACCCAGTCTGCCAATTTTGGAGCTTATTTTGAAAACTAACCTTCTGCGAAATCTGGGATGACTTGTTGACATCGTTCCGAGATGTCTTTGTAATCTTTCCTGAAGCGCTCCGTGTTCCTATTTTCTTTTTATCTTCTTCAGGGGAACTGTGCGAAATAGCCTGGTAATTGGTCTCCATAGAAATGTGGAAGTGGTTTTCGATCTTTCCTTTCAAGCTTTCAGAACTCTTTTCGACAAAACGCCTTTTCTCCGAGGGATTGTTTTTTTTTCTCAGAAAAACAGCCGACGGATTCTTTTCCCGCAGAAAGGGCCCAATTAATTGATCTTCGAAATAAATGAATTGAACAGGTGATGGATTAAGCTTATTTTTTACTAGCCAAAGTAGGGAGTTTAAGGTTTCAACGTTTTTGTCACAAATAACGCAAGAAAAGCATGTATATATCACATACAGATGGAGCCTCGAAGTTATAACAGAATTTGATTTATTGAATGTTTTCTCGCGATTCAATATATGATGATGAGTGAAATCAAGACATGCAAGGATTCAAGTCACAATTTAATGCAGCGTCTTCCGAGTCAACTGTGATTTGGCTATTTGCTGAAGAGAGAAGAACCACCAACGACACACTGATAAGCAGAGACAGTTTATATCGTCTCCAACAAAGAAGAAAAAGACGTTAGAATCACATTATATGGCAAAGAGTTTGTATGTCGGTCGAGTTACAAAGTTGACAGATTTGCCCTGTTTTAATTGAGATCAGATTATGAAGTTTCAGTCTTTAGAGGTGACCTTGATGTTTATCAGTATAATAATTAGCTGTCAATGCTTCGGGTGATCTTTTAGATCAAACTATGAATGAAAATTTTACGGTTATATGAATGAAAAGGCAGATGACACTTATGTAAAAGTTTCTTGTTGGGGTGAAATTTACATACAAAGGTAGATAAAGCATATTAATATCTATTGGTAAATTAATAGCACCTGAGTACTTATAATATCATGAATACCAGATTTACCATCAAAACTTTTGTCATTGATTTTTATCGTAAATCTTATGAAAATAATTTTGAGCAAATTGTTTTAAAACAAGTATATCACGCTCCTGTGCAAGAAATAAAAAATTTTAGGATCCCCGAATTTTTTGGCGAAAATGAAAGCGAAAAAAATTATATGTTTTCATAAAGTCATTTTCAGATTTCTTATTTTACCCCTGTTTTCTTGAGTTTTGAGGGAGTTTTCTTGAGTTTTATGATCATGATTTTGAAAAAAATAAAGCAAAACAGTATATTCGGAATAAAATAAGTGACCAGATTTTAATCATTGCCAGGACTAGGAAGTCTCGGTTGGGTTGTGAACGAGACTGAAAAACTAAAACGAAGAGACTAGGTTTAACTCAAAGACTTTTCTGTTCAGACTTCCGACAAAAAAGCAGATATTTTGTTTTGAGCAGTTTTTTTGTCAATTTTTACTTCAGAGTTTTTGACAGATAGTATCGTTGTTGTGGTCGAGAGCTGAAAAAAAAAGCTCTCCTGTGGTCAATTTCAGTATAGTTACTGAGGCTTGAAAACTGCGGACTTTGCCAATTTGGTATAATTAACGCACGATATATTGCTTTCTTATAATACGCGTTTTACGCGGGTTCCAAATTTAATGAAATTAAATAAAAAAGAAACTAAAACGACCCTTGATTGTTTGCATTAATATTTAAAGGATAAGTTGAAGAACGTTTTTTTCGGTTATTTCATCAAGGTTGATTAAAAAAAAACTTTTGCATCCATGGAATTAAAGTGTAGTCGGAACATTCAGGGCTTCGCCCTAATATACGAGCAGTCTCGCTTAGGTTTATACAATTACTGTTTATCGTTGAAATATTTCTTAAGATTTTACTAAATGGTAACAGTTTTATCCAATTAACAAGAATAGCTGGTTGCTATTTATTAGGCTTAGAAAGTATAGTAGCCCAAAAAACTGTTGAGAAAAACAAATTTATTGAGAATTTGTTGAGAAAAACAGTTTTTTTTTTACATCATTCTCTTAAAAAATTCTCCTTTAACATGACGATTTTCAGTCACAAAAGGACAAAATTGCGTTACTGTTTTGATTGGTGTTCATCTAGTATGAACTGAATTAAACTATTTTTCTGAAAGAGCTTTATACTGGTATTGCAATAGTGATTAACTAAATAAAAGTTTCTCTAAATCTGCAAAATAATTGAAAGGGTTTTCCAAGTCATTCATGCTTTGCTCTAAATTGGTCAAAAAGACATAATTTTAGTATTGGAATTATTTGGTAATGAATTAGTAATACTTTTGTAATAATGTTTGGTAATACTTTCAGTAACACAATTTTAGTAATACTTTGAACACTTCTATATGGCAATCGATTCGCAACTGAAAAATTAATGGGACCCATCTAGCGACTGGCTCTGCCATTTGTAGCACCTCGGTTTGCGTTGCACATAAAAGGCTCAAAATCAAGTGACTCCTTTTTTGGAATTCGAATCTTCGTTCAGAGATGTCAGTTTATTCATTCATTGGATTTTTTCAAGTGCCGTAAGTTAAACACACTTTTGCTTTACTGAAACCTTTTGTATTTCATTAGGACAGTTTTGTTGTTCAAAAATTTATCTCGGGATTAATCTTTTGCAGTAATTCTTCATCTTTTGAGCCAAGTTTGACAGAAATGGGATCTGAAACATTTCGTTTTCGCGAGCTCTAGCAATGTTTACTTGTTAAGAATTTTGCTAAGTTTGTGAGGTTCAATAATTGATATTTTTGGTGCTAAGGGAAAACAACGGGCGATATATTGCGTTCTTATAACACGCATTAGCGGCGGATAAAAACATTTCAAAGTGAACTGAGGCTAGTCATTTTGATATTTTTTTGTTCCCACTTTCGAAGTGCGGAAAATTTTTGCTTGTTGTGGTTTTTTCATTCAGTCATTTTTCGACTTGTTCACTAAGCGTTTTTGACGAATTTTTTTAATGCCAACTGAGATTTTGCTATCTTAAACTTAAATTTGAAAAAATATTTTACCTGTGATTTTTCCATAAAATTACGGGCGTTTCAAAATTGTTAAGCTAGCCAATTTGGGATAATTAAAGTGCAATATTTTGCGTACTTACAACACGCGTAAGAAGCAAACTAATGCGTTCCAAATTGAATCGAGGCCAGCATTTAAGTTATATTATCACAATACGAGACGCTAAATACACCCTTAGTATTTTACTTAGCGTTTGGGGATAAACTGAAGAAAAAATGATACAAAAAAAAATCTTTTTTTTTTCTCATTTTTTTGTCAATTAATCAAGCAAAAACTTTTCAATTGGCCTTAAGTGCAGTCAGAACGTTCAGGACTTTGCCTTGATATACGAGCAGTCTTGTCATGATGAAACAAACTAAATAGATTCGAGAACTTTTTTAGTTCTCATTTTAGAATGTGGGTGTTAAATTTGAGAACATTTTTGTTAACGCTTTAATAACAGGTGTTATTTGAAACTGATTCTAACGCCTGTGTCATTAAAATGAAACAAAAAGCAACTTATTTACATTCGGATTTGATAATGGTTGTTAGTTTAGTTTTAGTTGTTAGAGTAAAAGCGTTTCAAGGCATAACTTTTTTTATGATAAAAGCCTCGAAAATAAAAATATATAACTAAATTTGATCTGCGTTACTAATAACACTTGGGATTTATTGTTCGTACATCTAAGCGTGTTAATTCTAATTCGCATACATAGATAATATTTATCACCTAAAATTATTCATGTCTCATCGGAGTCAATTAGAAGAAGTCAAGCAATCCAATGCATTTCTTGGTAGATGGTAATAATATAACGATTATACTTCAAGCAAGCTTTAAAATCTATCTGTACGACATACTTTCTTGCAAACATTTTATAGAAATTCTCCACTTTTTGAATCGCTTTAAAAATGGTATCGAAAGATTTAAGGATTTGATATGACTTGCAAGTTTTTTATGTTTTGAAAAAATTTGATATTGTATGGAAAAATGGCATAAAATTAGTCGAAATCAAGTACCACAAATAATAACAAAACGACATTGTTTGAGTTTAAATTTCAAGACGCTTCGATTCATACTTTTTTCAAAAATGCAAAATCGAGAAAAACTGGTCTGAATTTTCTAATTTTCTGAAAAATTCGAAGCCAAAATTATGAAGCAGTTTTGTCGTTCTCTTACAGAAAAAAACGTGATATTAAGACAGACCTTTTCTAAAAGAAAGTTAGTTTTTTTTTCAACAGTTATTTTAGTTAACCTGTTTCTAGGCTGCTATCGAAGAGCAGCCAGCTATTTTTTTTTAGAGCAATGAAAATTTTCCCTTCATCAAAATCTAAAAACAATCTTTATCTTAACGCTACAGGGTAATTATAAAAACCTGAACAAGACTGCTCGTATGCCCTGTTTAAAAAACTGGTTTCAAAAGGAGTCACTTTATTCTGAGTTCTTTACGTGTAATGCAAATCCAAGTAACACAAATTGTAGAAAGAGCCCAAAGAAAGGTCCCATTTATCTCAAACTTAGTTTATCTCTGTTTGCTACCATACCATTCGCTTTCATTCGCTGTCAATTGTTACCACTTTTTTGCTTTCATTCGCTGTCATATGCTACGACTTTTTTGCTATCATTCGTTGTAATTTACTACCACATATTTGCTGTCATTCGGGAAATGAGGATGTGAAATTCGGTCTTTTTTACTTGCAGACACAGGAGAAACATTATCGCGGTTTCAGACCTTGATCAATACCCACTTAATCTTGATCGGGTCAAAAATATAAATAAACCTTAAAACTAGCTCTTGAATAACTCTGAACCTGGCAGCTCTGAATTAGCGCTGAATCATCTCTGAAACAGCGATGAATTTTGGAGCTAGTGTTTGATTATCTCAGTGCTGCAATTTAGTTAAAATTACCATCGCTGTTTCAGGCTCTGATCAGTGGCCACTTATCCATGACCAGTGCAATTGCAGCACTGATTCATGGTATAATGCTGAATCCGGGATGACTATCCCTGCGAGGTCAACCGGGATGTAAGATCTAGTCGATATGATCTTCCATCTTAAAACACTCTCAGATGGTATCCAACTTGCTGTAAGAATTGTTCAAACCTCTCTTGATGTCAAAAAACCTTCCTTTGTAATTGTTGTTTGTTATATAGACTAATCTAAAGCATAGAACGGATTAATGAATCACAATTTGAAAAACAATTTTGGAGAATCAACAAGTAACAAACATTTCAGCTCTTTTGTTCCAACCTTTGAAAATGGAGAGGAAGTTTGTATTTGGGTGTGTTTTTTGTTTTTTTTCCTTTTCTTTTTTTGTTCTCGACGCACAATCAGCTGCTACAAATTATCATCGGCGAGATGTTAGTGGTATGTCATAATCAGTTGTGATTCGAACGGCCCTAAAAAAATTCCAAAAAGTTCTCCCAGTGTCGAGAAAAATTGGTACAAATTTTTTGACTTTGTTTCAAACTCGAGTAAAAAATGCGATCGAGTTCTGCTTGTTAAATGGAATTTCACATTTTTTAATGTAATTTTAGGCTCACAAAATTTGATTTTATTCTTCAAAAATCTTTTTTTGATGTTTTTTTAGCGCTTGTTTGGCAGAAAAGGTTTTCAAAAACTTGAAAGTTTTATGCACAAAAAATAAAATTTTTAAAAAATGAAAATCACACCACCCACTATAAACAACACTAATTTGAAATAAATTAAACAAACTTTTTTATGAGTGTTATAAACATTCTGTGCTACTTTCACAGCCACTGACTATCCTTATATCATTTGCAACATATTTAGGTGCAAGGTTAATGCCCATATATATGAAATTTGTCGTTTTTTTGTTCCGACCAAATGGGGAGGAACTTTGTATTCGGGTGCTTTAATTTTCTTTCTTGTTTCCACAGAAAATTAAGTACCACAAATAGTTTTTGGAATGGGCTAAGTGATATATTTTATTAAATAGCTTTCAGTCGTAAATCGAACGAAATTTGAAAATTTCTTAAAAAATTCCCAGTGTCGAGAAAAACATTTTGATGTTTGTCATTTTTAGTCTGATTTTGAGCGAATAAATATTTTTTTCTTCTAATTTTTCATAGCTTATAATTCTTAGTTTAAACCTAACTTAATAAAATAATTATAACTTATTCCTACTCATTTGAAGTTAGTTATCGAAATTCTGCTTGCGTTTTCCTGGGAATAAAACCTTAATAACAAAAAAATTTCTGGCCTTTCATTGAAATATTTTTTATCATACCAAAGACAAGCTATTCATGTTTTTATTGTTCCGACTTTCGGAATATTTAAGCACAGGGTGGATTTTTTTTCTTCAGACAAATTTCGACTTTTTAACTAGCCATTTTTGACAAAGTGTTTAAATATCATTCGAAAGGTATTGTTGTCCTGAACTTAATTTTGAAAAATTTTTTCACCTGTGATCGTTTTTCGTAAAAATATGGGGGTTTAACGGTTGCCATTTTGGTATTTTTGAGACAATTAACGCGCGATATAATTCAAGAAAACTGTAGGTAAAATATGTTTAATTATGTTTTATGGATTGACAATCAGATAATTTTCAGAACGCTTTTTGATCATTTAGCATACGTTATGTATTTGACATTTGAATTGTTCTGGAAAATTTTCAAGCACATCCTAAAAGGCCTTCATTGGTGACATTTTTTGAAACTGGTCTCAAAACAAAAAATTTTAAGACAAAAAGAAACATTTGAGTCACCTGCAAATTTTGCAAGCTAAATCCCAAATTTTTCTATGACAAGAACGAAAACTAATATCTGAATTGCATTACCAAAAGCAAAATCTGCTTTTGAAACAAAAACCCGAACCAAGTTTTAAGGGGGAGGGGGTTGGCAGAAAAGATTCGCTTAATAGTAAAACGAAAACTACCTTTGTCTTCAAAAAATAAATGGCGATTTGGCTCAGGAAACAGAAACTTCAGGTTAAAAGCTGTTGCTGTCCTAAGCTCAAAACTCTAAAAGGATTTATCACCTTTGAGCATCAATGTTTCGTAAATTTGCAGGGGCTTTATTTTTGGTTCTGAAGTTCTAATTTTGGTAGTAAGTTAATCATTATTCGACACTTGAACTCATTTTTTTTGCTGTAATGTCTGTATATTTAGGCTGACTTTTGTGGTTCATATCGGCTAATTTTTTTGGTCTAATTGTTTGGAAGCGATTTTGTTTTATTAAATAAAATACTTTGACCTATCTATTTAAAAAAAATTGAAGTACTCATTTTTCAAATAGTTTCGGCAATTTTTAATTTAGTCATCGGGACTTTAAAGTGCAGTTGAAACATCTAGAGACTTGCCCTGATACGAGCACTCTTGTTAAGCGTTAAAGCTAGTTGTTACTTTAATATTTCTCTCTTTTAATTGGCTGCTCATAAACCTAAATTCTTCATCCTTCGAAAAACAGCGCTGGTGAAAAAAGTATACTTGGTTCCGGCTTCAAATTTATCTAATTATTTGATTAAAATTGTACAGTTATCTTTTTCATTAGGTTAAAAAACTTTTGATTGACTATTTTATGCGCATAGCTCCGAGGTGGATGGCGCCCGGCTTGCCACTACTGCCGGATCCGAGTGAAGCCTTCTCGGGCTTGAACTTAATCCGAATACTCTCCTCGCCATCGCCCGAAGTGCAACACTTCTGTTCGAGGTATCGTGCCAGGATTATGACGAAGAAAACCAGTGAAAGAATAGCGTAGAATAAAACGGAGGCAAAAACGGCGGCCATCATATTGTTCACGAAGTTGCTCTGAGGCACTTTCTCCTTGGGAGTCGAACTAGTAGCTGCAGATGAATCAGAGTCGTGACTCGGATGGTAGAAACCGAAGCTGTCCATTTCCATAATCGGAAGTAGATAACTTAGAGCTTATGAAAGCAGATTATGTTCCGACTGTCTTCATTATTTCAGATTATGTTCCGACCATCTTCATTATTTCAGATTATGCTTCGACCATCTAAATTATTTCAGATTTTGTTTTGAGCATAGTTTTCGCGTCACCAATTTAAGCTTAATCAAAATTTTTCTTACTTCAAATGTAGCCGGTTTCCGTTTTTTTTTTCAGTTTTCTGGGCTCTTTGTTCCGTTAAACGTTTCCATAAAAAGTGACAGATAATTTTGTGCTCATTTTTTTCGCTCTTATTGATAAAATATCTATACCACTGCCTCATTGTATTTTGAGAAAAAAAAGCTTGGTTTGCCCACAGCAGTTTTTTTGGTTGGTTTTTATGGAACTAGAATTACCTTTAACAAATATTTGATAGCCATTTATTCGTTTTATTTCCGAATTTAGGAATATTCTTAACTCGGATGGTCGGAACATTTTATGAAACGGTTAACCGATTAAAACAATGATCATCGATTAGGCGATTGATAATTAAGCAGTATTTAAATGTCAAGGAATGTGTTCTTGGCAAAAAATATGAACATATTGGTGGAAATTGTTGTAGAAAAGGCTTTAGTAGAAAATGTCTTGTTACTTCTTGCCAGCGTGGTCATAATATGAAAGAATCGGAACAGGTTGCAGAGGAAGAACAAATTAAGATTAAGCTAATCGAGGTATGACCTCAAGAGACGAGAAATGAATTTTGAAAAAGTAATTTCAGCCCCGCGAGTGGGCAGAAGGGTCGAGGCCAGGGAAATCTCAGTTTCCAATTCTAGCCTGCCCAGACTTTTATGAAACAGGTAATTTTCTATACTACCGCCTCATAAATTCGTAACTATTATCATTATTACCAAATTGTAAATATTCTCACAATGCAATACTTGCTGGTCAAAATATTAATTCAAGCGACGCTGAAAAAAAAAACTGGAGAACAAGTTCGATGGAGTGAAAGTCATATTATCACTTTTTCAGCCGGATAAGGCCGGGCTGTGGTAAATGCACTTTTTAGCCCGCGGCCGTGCTATTTATTGGCAGCATATCGAATGAGTTTGTTTGTATATTTGAGTACTCGTGAAAGGTGGAGAATATTTGCCATAATGCAACTCTGATAAAAGCGACTACCTGACAAAAAGAAAAAGGCTCCGCGGTAATAAGCAGAAAATCAAATGAAAATTAGATTAAGCGTGAAAACTAAAAAGCAAGGACAAATTTTTACCGTAGAAAGTACTTCACTTTTTTCTGAAAACTTGAGTCGGAGAATTAACTTTGTAACTACCAAATTAATAAACAGTCAACTGTCCATTCTGGCTGTATGAATTTCGGTCAGGTCTAGCTGGCAATTTATCTGCTTTTTGACCAGCGTTGATGTTATATGACTTTGAAAAGGTTGACCAACTGCATTTGCCGACTCAAAAAAAAACAACTGATCATGACCTAAAAAAGCTTAGCCTCTTTTTGGCAGTGGCATCAAATTTAAATATAAAAAAGGTTAAAATGGTGTCAATGTATGTTCAATAAACTTCTAAACACAGTGAAGCATATATTAGTATTTATGAAGACAAATGAAAACGACATGCATCATGCATTTGTCTTTTTTTTTTAGCTTTTTTTTTCAGTTAAAATTTCAAGATAAGCATAAAAATAATTTTGGTTGTGAAGGCTTCATTTCTCTAGGCAATGCTGAAGGGGTATTTTAACTGAATTTTCTCTAAGCAAGGATGCCTGCCATTAGAGTGCGGTTGAGGGATGTACCGACCGGGAAAATATTTGCGATTCAATTATATCTATACTCGGGCGCAGGTGGAAAAAGTAGATTATTTCTACTTAGAGATTAAAAAGCGCTGGCCTAATTTGCCTTTGTAGTCCGGGGGATGTGATATTGTTGTGATCGATTTTCTACCCCATCTATTTTGTGCTCAATAAATCAGCCCCGTCAATTAGCATTTCTCTCAAATTGCTTCTTCACCTTGGAGACCAATTCACAAGTCCACAAATGCACTGGCTGTTTCGTCGTCGTGATTTACTTCGTTGTTTTTATTTACGTTTGTTCTTCCGTTTCAACTGAAAAGATCGATCGATGGGTTAAGAGCTTTGCAAATGTTTTCTACTTGAATTTCAAATAGCCAGCAGAGAGAATAAATCACCGGTCCATGAAATCGCGCCAGAAAAGTTTGCAGTCTTAGGATGAGTCACTAGACAAAACATCTTTTTAAAGTTGACCAGCAGCCTAGATCTAAGTTTTTTGCTCGGTTCTATAAAAGCCTGTAGGAATATAAAAATTAGCTTTTCATGTAGCATGGAAAGTACAGAGTAATAGCAAATTTCGGGGAAGTTTGGAAAGGTGACGCCCTTTTTCTCAAAATTCAACACCCACACTGGCCAGAGCCCCCTTTGACACCATTTTACGACATCCGTGCTTGGCTGATCAACCCTATAATAATTCTAAGGGCGCCGCCATCAGCAGCAGTAAGTACTAATTTTAATAAGCGTGCGTCAAAAAAAAATCAACTTTTTACTCAAAACCTTCCAAAATTGCTCAGAAACGGCATTTGGCCCCACTTTTGTACAATTTTGCCTGTGACGCAGAAGTTACTGCATAAATTGGGCTAATTGGCCTGGCCTTATTTGGTTTACTTAAAAAATTGAATCACCCCTCCAGAAAATCCTACATCCACCCCAAGTGCCAACTTCGTTAATTAAAATATACAAGACTGCTCGTATCAGTGCGAAGCCCTGAATGTTCCGACTGCCTGTTGAGTTTTATCGAGCAGTAATAACAAAAAAATTAAATGTAATTAAATGAAATGAAAAATTTTTTTCTAAAATTTGAAAGTTTTTTTAAAAAAATCATCCAACCACACGTCATAATAAGTACTAAGTGGTAAATTTTGCTCCTAATAACAAATCAATTATGGCATATAAGCTTCCTTGAACCAATTTGGAACGATTTCTATGCCGGATTAAATCTCTCTTACGCGTTAATAGCGCGAAATATATCGCGTTTATTGTCTCAAATTGGCCAAAATGGCAATCGTTAAACCCCCATAATTTTACGAAAAATGATCACAGGTAAAAAATCTTTTCATATTTAAGCTCAGGTCAACAATACATTTCGAATGATAAAAATTATTCCATCAAAAATGGCTAGTTAAAAAGTCGAAATTTGTCTGAAGAAAAAACCCACCCGGGCACAATTATTCCGTTACTTTCGTATCGAAAGTCGAAACAATAAAACACTTACTGGTCGTTTTTCATTCAAAATCATTCTTGACGCACTGCTGTTTTCTTAAGTGTGGGCTGAAATAAAGCATCATAATAACAAGACTGCTCGTATGAGGGCGAAGCCCTGAATGTTCCGACTGCCTCTTAAGATTTATGGACCACTAACAACATTAAAAAATTAAATCAAATGAAACAAAATGAATTTTTTTTTCTAAAATTTTATATTTGTTTATGAAAATCATCCCCCACACGCCATATAAAGTGAAAAAAGGAAAAATTTCCCTCCATGTAACAAATCCATTATGACAAATAAGCTTCTTTCAACCAATTTGGAACGATTTCTAGAACGGACTAACTCTCCGCTTACGCGTTAACAGCGCGAAATATATCGCGCGTTAATTGTCCCAAATTGGCCAAAATGGCAATCTTTAAACCCCCGTAACTTTACAAAAAATGATCAGAGGTGGAATATTTTTTCAAATTTGAGCTCTGAACAACAATACCTTTCGAATAATATTTTAAAATTTCCGTCAAAAATGACTAGTTAAAAAGCCGAAATTTGTCTGAAAAAAACCCACCCCGAGCACAAATATTCCGTTTCTTTCGTATCGAAAGTCGGAACAATAAGAGTAGCTTGATTGATTGGCAAACCGTTATATAAACAGATTTGCTCAAGTGATTTCATGATACGATCTTTATTCACTCCCCGCTTAAAAAGGAGTCGGAGCAATATTAGAATATGTGATAAGTTTGCACAAGTTTTGCCAGTGTAATGCGTGTAACTTACACGAATAAAAAGCACAAAAATGAGAGTAGATTTAGGAGTGTCTTTGGGTTTTTCTAAGTCGACCAAACTCTCCGAAATCACTGTAACTCTCCGGACACGAATTTCCATCTTTGGGTCTTCAAGTGAACGAACTCGCACAAGGTTTTTTTGTGCATTCCACGACAATTTTCTTCAATTTTTTGCGCCAATTTGGATTGCACAAACCAATAGTAAAAACACTGTATAGCATAAAATTGCTTCACAAACAGCCAATTTCGGAACAAAAGTTTCGCAACCTGAATAGTTTATAGAGTCCTCAAACAAATCAAAATATCTGTATGCAGTAAAATTAAGCTGTTTTGGAACCCACAACTGTAAGCGGAAGTCGCAAAGTATGAGCAGACTCCGCAAAGTTTAAGCAAAATCCTCAAAATGCTGCGAATATCAAAAGTAAGTATTTGCACCTCGAAATTACGTTTTTGATCTAAATGTTTTTGTGGGTCAGCAGCGAGACTTTGCATGAGTGTAATCTCATTTACTTCCAACAGTTTAATCTGAATTAGTGCCAAGAGTTCAATCTCAATTTTTGATATTAGTTTGAAGTCAACCGCTACGTTTTCCAAAAGCTCTTTTCGCATCTCAATTACTTAAAGAATGGAAAAAATCTGAAACAAAGTAATTCATGGGCTTTGTTGCTGAATTCTAATTTAACTTCATCCCAATTTGGCTTCACGATAATATTTTAAAATTAAGTGCAAGTTTAAATTAGAACTAGGTGAATTTTTACTCTAATCAAACTTTTATTCCAACCTTCAACCCGATTTAACAGATAAGAAAATAGAGGATGAGTTCTGAATATTTTGAAATGATAACCTTAACTGCTGTTTTGGAATCATAATTAGGTCAGGATTTAGAGATTAACTGAAAACTCCAAATGGCATGCATCCTAATAGACATGTCTTCGATCAAAATACAGCACTCATACAAAATACCACTAATAAATACTTCCTGATAGTCACTTAAATAGAAACTCTCTTCCTAATAACCGCAAGTTCCAATTGTTATTTTTGTTCATTTGCTTTTTAGAATATAAGATTACCAAATTATCATACCAAAAACAGGTTATTTTGAAATATTTTACTACCAAATATTTTATGAAATTCCGTATTTGCAAGGTAATAGATCCTATCCTAGCCATAACTATTAATTGTTTTAGTTAAGTTTAAGAAACAAAATTGCGGAATCAGTTTACATTTGCGGAATCTGGAAAATTGCGAAACGCTATAATCGCTCGTTGCAGAATCCGCGAAAAAATGTGCGAACCAAACTGACGTTACAACGCGGAATCAGAGGAAAGGTATTACGGGGAATCCAATTGCAATTAGAAAAATGTTTAAAGACGTGTGAATCTGGATTCCAGTGACTTCTAGTCACTAAATTTTGCGCCTATCTAGTGCGCAGGTTTGCCTCGTATTGCTTGCAAAAAAAGGAATGAAAAACGCAATTAATAAGAAATTAGACCAATTTCTCTTAAACGTGGGACCAAGTTTCTAAAATATTTTTTCCGAAATCAAAAGTTGACTGGAAGGACCTTAATATTTTACCCCGATCGATGCCTAACGAGAGTTCTTTGAGGTTTGCTTGAGATGTCAAAACAAGGTAATTTTTGACTATAAATTCAGCCGCTAATGGCGCGGAACAATTTTGAGAATTTTTCCAATTCGACGTACGAATTGATCAGTATTAATTTTCATTTATAATTTTTCATTTTTCTACTATTATGCTGAAAACAGCCATTTTTTGATCATTCATAAAAAAGTGATCTCGGAATGCAATTCTTGTACTATTAACATTGTCTTTTAGGCACTCTGAGCTGTGAGCAAAAATGCCCCGCCTTGAATAATGTACGACAAAATAAATGTACGATATACATAAACACCTGGATACGACTTGCAAAAAGTGAATTGGAAAATGCAAAAAGCAGCAATTCAGCACATACTAAAAAAAATTAATGCGAAATACTGCAAGGCTAAGCAATTGGTCACCAATTCTGTTGAATCAAGCAGCTGTCGGTCATGGATTCTCCAGCTCTTATCAGCGCATGGTCACAAAATACGCAACACAACAAAACTTCAAAAAACGGGTCTTTTTTAAAAAATGACCATGAACTCGCAACTTTTCGGTGCACACTAACCCCTCAGAAATAGTATATAATGGCGCTGAAGGTGCTCGTGGAAAAAAATTGGGTCGGATACGAATTATTATCTTTGGGTCTTCAAGCGGACAATCTCGCCTTTTTGGACTACCCCAACAAATATTAAAAATGCTGTGTGGCATGAAATCAATCCGAAAAGAGACACTTTTGCAAAATACACAGCAAAGTTTCCGCAACCCCGAAGAGTTTTTGGAGTCCAAAAACAAACTATAATACCTGTATTTAGTAAAGTTACGCTGTTGTGGAATCCGAAATCCTAAGTGGAATCTGCATAGTGCAAGCCTACTCCGTAAATTGTACCCGAAATGTTCAAATTGTTGCAGATTCCAGTAACATATATAATTACATTTGGAAATTACCTTTGAAATTTGTTTGTTTTTGATGATCTACTTTTTGTTGGTTAGCAGCGAGACTTTTCAAGAGTGCAATATCATTTACTTCAAATAGCTCATTTTCAGTCATTTCAAAGAAGCATTTTGACCATTTTCAGTGGCGCTTCTTAGGCACTTTTCTGAAAAAATTGAACCAAAACTTGCCCTTTTCCTGTGCAAGCTCTCCCCTCAAAATTGAACAACATTGGCGCTGAAGGCGCTTTCAGAAAAAAATAGGACCAGTCAACAAAAAACTGATTTCTCGAAATACTATTTTTGCCTTGTCAAG